TGCATCGTGGGACCATGCCAGATTCGTCGAACTCTACATCGACATCCGCCGTTCACACACACATGAACAACTCAGTGTCGGACAACATTATTCTCGCCACTGCTATGGCGTTGGTTCGCTACGCTTCCGGAAATTATCGTCTTGGCCGAGCTTTGTTGGATTCCTGCTCACAGGTGAATTTCATTACCGACGAGCTTTCGCAGAAGTAGATGCTTCCACGCAGCAAACACAATATTGAGATACAAAGTATTGATACGTTTTCAACTAATATTAAATATAAGACTTCCCCCAACATAAAGTCGCAAGCAACTGGATTCGAGCTACCGCTCACATTTTGCATCACGTCGCACATTGCTTATCAGCCTGAACCGGAAATAGACACATCCTCTAGTGACATTCCATCCAACATTGTGTTGGCTGACGACCAATTTAATAAATCAAGAAAAATTTACTTGATTTTGGGAACAGAAAGTTTTTTCAGTCTACTCTCTGCAAGTCAAATAAAACTCGGAAATAATTTACCAATTTTACAGAAAACCCTGCTGGGATGGGTCGTTTCTGGGTGCTATCGTGCCAGCTGTAATGCTATAAATACCAAATGTTTGCTTGCCTGTAAGGAGTCTATAGATTCAAGGTTGGAAAAATTATTCCAGATTGAGGAAGTTGCAACAAAGTCGGACGTGTGGACTTGTGAGCAATATAGCTGCGAAAAGCTATATAATGACACCGTTACTCGGAGCGCTAATGGCCGGATGGTAGTCAAAATTCCGTTCAAGGACGATCCGGCCTGCTTAGGTGAATCATACACTACAGCCTTGCAAAGATTTAACGCGCAAGAACGTAGGTTACAACGGTCCCCCATCCTCAGGACACAGTACGTCGTTCATGGATGAGTATGAGAGTCCTAGGCCATATGCAAGCAATGCCCAACCCGAAATTAAACGAACCTCAATACTTTATCCCCCACCACTGCGTTTTGAAGCCGAATAGCACAACCAAGCTAAGAGTTGTCTTCGATGCATCGTGTCGAACAACTACACAGAAATCGATAAACGACATCCAAATAGTCGGACCTACTATCCAAAGCGAGCTTGTAATTCTGTTGCTCCGTTTCGGCTTACATCGCTTCGCTCTTACAGCAGACATCGTGAAAATGTATCGGCAGGCGCTAGTCAGTGAGGAACATTGCAGATTCCAGTATATTTTGTGGAGGAGTTCGCCTCATCATTAAAACATTTCAACTCAAAACAGTCTCGTTCGGAATGGCAACTGCACCATACCTCGCAGTACGCAGTCTACATTACCTAGCCGATCAATATGTGTCGTAATTCGTCGTTGGGTCAACTGTCGTAAAGTCAACGTTCTACGTTGACGATTTGCTGTGTGGCGCTGACTCGCTTGCAGAGCTATCACGGATTAAATATGAGGTAACAGAATTACTAAAATTAGGTGGACTAGAGCTGGCAAAATGGCACTCTAACCACCAGCGTTTCAGAGGAGAATACACTGACAAGGATTTGAATCTCGACAACTCTATCACCTGTGCTCTTGGTCTTAAATGGGATCAGATTCATGATAATTTTCTATTTTCTTTTCTACCAAAGCAGCCACTAAACGGTCGTGTTACAAAAAGGACAATACTATCCATCGCATCATCGCTCTTCGACCCACTTGGCCTCCTAGCGCCAGTGATCGTTTCCGCTAAAATTTTGCTTCAAGAGCTGTGGTTGCTGAAACTCGACTGGGACGAATCGGTTCCACAAACCATCCAGTCGGCTTGGCAAACCTTTGTCAACAACCTTTCGGATCTCCCTCCGTTAAAGGTCCAAGGTACTCTTTATCTGCTAACATGCAGTCGTTGCAAATACATGGATTTTGTGATTCATCGATTCGTGCTTATGGCTGCAGAATATATATACGCATCGTAGACAATACTGGTAAAGTTCGCGTTCGCCTTCTCACGGCAAAATCACGTGTGGCCCCAACCAAACGACAGTCGCTACCAAAGCTGGAGCTTTGCGGTTCACTACTACTTGCCCGACTCTTTACAAAAATTAAACCCATGTTTTCTAATTATAATTTCGATACGTTTCTTTGGACAGATTCGCAAATCGTCCTTCACTGGCTCGAACTGCATTCGGTTACGCTTTCAGCTTTCATTGGCAACAGAGTGTCGGAAATACAGGATTCGCCTAGGGACGCTCATTGGAGACATGTACCGATGAAACGCAATCCAGCCGATATTGTGTCCCGAGGAAGCACAGCGCTTGAACTTGGTGGCTCGATTTGGCTAACTGGTCCAGCGTTTTTGTACGAAAATATAAGCAACTGGCCTAACCAAACAAATGACGAGTTGGATATGGACGTAGTAAATTCGGAAAAGCGAAAATCAGTATTTAAGGTTACTGTAACTAATAACTACCTTCTCGAAATCCTTGACAGGTGCAGTTCTCACACTCGTGAAGTCCGGATTGTTGCAAGGATGCTCCGTTTTTGCGCAAGGGTCAAGAAAGCTAATATAAAAATCGTAAAAGGGCCTCTCACTGCTGATGAACTGTACCGCGCTTTGTTATGCATTGTATGGAACGTGCAACAACAATATTTTTCTGGAGATATTCGTCTTTTGCAGAAAGAGTCAACAACAAATGGCATGCTACGTAATCTAAACCCTTTCTTGGAGTCTACTCATGTCTTTGAACTGTTGAAAGTTGGCGGACGACTTGAATTGGCAGATCTTGCAAAAAGCAACCTATTTTATTACCGTCTCTTTGAGGTTTTTCGCAAGGATAGAGATTTTGCTAAAACTAGTGTTAGTAGGGGTGGTGGTGTGCTTATTGCTACACGCAGCTATCTTCGTGCTTCTTTTTATGAGCTATGGGTTCCAATTCCGTGCTGGATCAACTTTGCGTAAAATTACAAGGTGCGTGTGGTGTGCTGTATATTTGCGTATCCTATATCCCGCCGGGCAGCTCGGATGTCATATATAAGGCACATATTGACAATATCCTAACACTTCACGAGAAAATTGGTGACCGTCAGGTTAGGTAATATATCTTGGAGCTTTATGGATAATAATAATTTTCTCACTCCATGTAATGTTAATAGTTTATGCGAAGCTTACGTAATTGATAACTTGCTATGTGTTGAATTGTCACAGATCAATGGTTTTCTAAATGAACCTAATCGAATTTTAGATTTAATATTTGTTAGCTCTAATATTAATTTTAAGCTCTCGCATGCGGCCAGTTACATCTCGCCTTCCAATCCGCATCATAGTCTACTGGTGATTTTGTGGAATTAAAGAATTTGTTTGCGCTGGATTGGTCTCGGCAATTTGAAAATATGGATGTAGCTGGCAGTTACGATATTTTTAAATCTATTATAGTTGACACTTGCTTGAGTCACATCCCGATGTTAAGTGCTTAACCTTCGAAGCGGCCGTGGTTCTCTAGAGAACTCAAACGACTAGGGAACTTGAAGAATAAGTTTTATAAAAAGCAAAAGCATTCTAATGATGTTAATTTTCGTGAGCGGTATGTGTCTTAGAGAGGTAAATTCAACAAACTCAACAAATCTTTGCATCGAAATTATATACGTAATATAGAAAGCAATATTAAATGTAACCCCAAGGCCTTTTGGAGTTACATAAAAGCTAAGAAAAACTGCTCAAATATACCTGCGTCGGTTCATCTTAAATGGGTTTCAGCTAATTCCATCTCTGATGCTGCAAATCTGTTTGCAAAATTTTTTTCTTCGAATTTTATTTCAGACAAGCTGATCATGGCTTTGTCCCTGAACATCTCCTGTTTAATTCAGATACTTCCATCAACTTCGGGAAATTAGATTTGACTGTCGAATATGTCATTGATGGCATTAATCAGCTTAAGCCATCCACTAATACAGATGTTGATGGCTTATCGGTCGTTCTAATTAAAAGTTGTTTTCAACATGTCACTTGCTGCTGGAGTCTTCCTTGATGACTGCAAATTGACTTTTATTACGCCTATCCTTAAAAGCGGCAATAAAAAAGATATTGAGAATTATAGGCCAATTTCGAAACTAACCACAGTTTCTAAACTGTTTGAGTGCATAGTTAAGGACAAAATATACTTTGCCGTCAAACATATGATATGTCCTAATCAACATGGGTTTGTTCCGGGCAGATCTACCTTAATTAATTTAGCTGCCTTTACGGAGGATTGTCTGGATACCTTTCAAAGGGGTTTTCAAATGGATGCAATCTTCTTATGCGAAAGTTTTCAGTATTGTTCCAACATCTTACTGCATCTTAAACTCGCCGCTAAAGATAATAAGTGAATGTAAGGACCTGGGCGTCTATTTTGACTCCAAGCTCAACTTCGCAACTCACATCATTTATTTTTTTTTTCTAAATCGTTCGCTAAGTTGGCCTTTATTCGTCGAAACTGTTCTTAGTTTTCTGATCCCTATACTCTCAAACTGTTGTATTCGTCCGTAGTTCAGTCCAGGTTAGAATACGCGGTTTTTGTTTGGAGACCGTTTCATGCAGTCCATGTTAATAGATTAGAGTCTGTTCAGCGAGCTTTTGTGCGCTTTGGTTTGCGCTCGATGAATTTTGTAGATCCCATTCCGTCCTATCGCTCTCGTTGCTTACTAATAAACCTCATGTGCTTAGAGTCTAGGCGTGCTATGTTGTCGATGTGTTTCATCTATGATATCTGTGCGGGATCAATAGATTGTCGGTACCTGCTCATGAAAATTAATTTTAATGTTCCCTCACGCATTCTCCGCCGTAATGAATTGTTTTTCGAGGGTATAGCTAAAACTGTCTATGGGATGAATGCTCCTTTTAGGAGGACGTTAGCACAGTTTAATGCGTATTCTTCTTCCTTAGACTTTGATTTCTCATACTCTAAGTCTACTTTTAAGAATCTACTGGTAAGGCTTTTGTCATAAGGTCTTTGTATTTAACTATCATATAGTCTGTAAACATCCTGTTTGTAGTTGATTAATAATAAACAAAAAAATAAATGTGAATTCGTCACGCGAAACGTTCGACATCTACACATCAAAAACTATCATCCCGGCCCGAAGGCGCTGGTGGGTTTAATTCGTCTTCAGTTTTGGGTAATTAATGCACGTGATATTGCTAGAGGCATCGTCAGATCATGTATACATTGCATTCGATACAAGCCAAAACTGCTCCAACACATGATGGGAAATCTGCCTGTTAAACGCTTGACACCATCGCGCCCGTTCGCCCGCTGCGGCATCGATTTTTGCGGACCGATTAGCGTTTACCTTCGCATTAAGGGCAAGGCTCCCTATAAAGCCTACATCGCCATCTTCGTGTGCTTTGCTATAAAGGCAGTGCACATCGAAGTCGTCTCCGACTTAACCACGGATGCATTTTTAGCTTCGCTAAAGCGAATGATTGGAAGGAGAGGCCTTCCAACAGACATCTTCTGCGACAATGCAACCAACTTTGTCGGCGCTTGCAGCAAACTTGCGGTATTGAAAGCGTTCCTTTTCAAGAAAGAGAGCCAAAATGTCACCACCAATTATTGTACTAATGAATTTGTGAATTTTCATTTTATTCCCCCCAGAGCACCTCATTTTGGCGGCATTTAGGAAGCCGCAGTTAAACCAGCCAAGAGTCATCTAAATCGCAGCATCATGAACGCCAGATTTACGTATGACGAGCTGACGACGGTACTAGTGGAAATAGAAACTGTTCTTAATTCGCGGCCTATCTCTCCACTCTCATCTGACCCCGGCAATTACGAGGCGTTGACTCCAGGGCATTTCATAACCGAGAGTGCTTTAAAATCTCTACCGGAGCGAGCAGTAGCAAACAAAATCAACCTCGTCGACAAATGGACTCAAATCACCGCCATCAAGCAAGTCTTTTGGAAACAATGGTCCCACGACGTGTTATAGAGGTCATACCTGGAAAAGATGCTCGAGTTAGAGTGGTCGACATACGAACCGCGCAGGGAATCATTCGTCGCCCTATCCACAAAATTGCAGTTTTACCAATTTGAAAGTCCTTTCAACGGGGCCGGGATGTTGGGTCACCTAACGACACACCCTGCAAGTTGGCGTAGGTCAAGAACATCTAAATACTTATTTACTTCATATTCAATTATGTATTCGTTTAACTGTCGCATTTTGTATTTGTAATATAAGAGCATGCACTCAATTGTACTAACAGACATATATATGTACATACTAAAACCTAACTTTGATGATTCCTCCTAACTAATTTGTATATACACATGCATGTATGCTTACATATGTACATATGCTAATACAACAGCAAGATTTTGTCATTTTGCTGTATCACTCCTTCGTATGTGCATACATATTAACATACATACATACATTCACTACCTAATATAACTTGAATTATTACACTGAATTGCACGTTTGAGAACATTAAATAAATTAGTCTACTGTTGACCACCAAGACGCCGTGTTTACCTTCGCAAGATTTTCAGTTGGTTCTATTTGGTATCGAATTAATTGCACAGCCCAATTTTCGAAGTTAGATTCGTTTCCCTAACGTTTGGTTTGGATCGCGGGTTGGAAAAAACCTTCTTTACCCTACAGTAATAACAATAATGGTAATAATAATAATAATGGCGTCATGCCAATTGAGCTACTTGCTTACGAGCGAAAAGAGATTTACAATCTCAGTGGCGAGATAGGTGGAGCAGCTGCAACAAAGCTGGAACAAAGCTGGAACGCGAGAACAAAAGGTCGATGGACGCACACCCTGATAGCCGACCTTCAAAACATGGTTGAACAGAGCGCATGGGGAAGTCGATTTCTACCTGATGCAATTCCTCACCAGTCATGGTTACTTCCGAGAATATCTTCATAGAATGGGAAGGG